AATTATAATTAAAGTTTTTAAGCGAATTTTGAAAAATTATCAATTAAGAAATTTATTTTTTAAAATAAAGTTTCTTCATTTTTTAATATGTTAACTATTTTATTTAATAGAACCGTAATATTTTTAAAATTAAAAACATCGAAAGAAATTTTTTTTTACGTAATTTATCAGTATCTTCATTTTATTGATTTTTTTTTTTTTCATGCTAAGGATTTACCTCACTTATTGGAAGAGCTGTTGGTTCCAACTCCCGGGAAATTCTTGATTCCATTTTCACCTTTTTGAAGTTGGTCACTGAAAAAAGGTGTTGCCACAGGGAGTAGTACGCAGAAAGTTGGGTTGTTGAAAGCTGAAAGGAAAGCCAGCCACGGAAGTATACAGATATAAAATGATTATTATTTTTTTGAATTTTTAAATATTTTTAAAATTAAGTTGAAAAAATTCAATATTTTCTTACTCTCATTTACATACAATTTTATATATTTATGTACTTTTTATTATCTAATTATATTTGATTTTATTACATATCTAATATAATAAATATGATGTATGAGTATTGAGTATAGTGAAAGAGGCCTATTCCGAATCATTTAACAAGTAAAGAACAAAGTGAAGCTGCCAGGGAAAACGGCTATGTGTCACTGTGCCTTTGTTTTGGGAAAACTTACATATATTTTGTTTATGAAATTAATGCTTCTCATGTTATAAATATATAGTAGATAATTTTATTTTCTACACATATATAAAAACATGAGAAATCCATAAAACGTAATGTAAAAAGAAAAGAGAAAAAAATAAAATATAACTTATATATTTTTATGTATGTGTGAAAGATCGAATTAAAATCTTATAATGTAAAAAATATTATTTTTTTTGTTTATTAAATTAATCACTATTTTAAATGTATAATAAATTTAAGATATAAGATTTATATAATTATTTAATATTAAATAATCATACATCATGTATTATTTATTATTTAATGTACACAATTCATACATAATAATACATTTTCCGCTCATAATACTTAGGCTTATTCTTAGTTTTGGCGGTGATGTTTGCACACATTGGCATTCGTTAGTTTGTCAGGTTCTGCAGAGAGTGATGTATCTCGCTGCGCTGCCCCATCAGCATCAGCACGTGACCACTCCCCCATGCCGCCCTCACCATAACTTATATATATATATATATATATACTTGCAATTTCTCGTGTTGTACGAGAAATGCAAGCTTTCCTCCTACAGAGAAAGAAAGGAGTGAGGTCCACTTTAAAGAAAAAAATAAAAAATAGAAAAGTGATTAGCACGGACATCGAAGTGAGAGTGGTAGGAAAAGATATTTTTCATGCAACATGAGAAATTTTTTTCTCCGGTCACCCCAAAACTAAGTTGTTTTGATTATTTATTTTCTTATATGTATTGATTCACATTTGAATGATTATGATTTTTCTTTTCTCTCTCTTCCTTTATCACTATTGATCTATCTTTGCACGATTATGATTTAGTAGCCGGAGTTAAAGTTATCTTCGGCCGCTTGAGAAATGATGAGCCTATATATATATATATATATATATATATATATATATATATATATATATATATATATAGGGATAGGATCAACTTACACCGGTGTAAGAATAATAAATCTTACACCAAATCTTAACCATTGATTTCCGTGCATCCAATGGTTGAGATTTATTGGAAATTAAAAATTAATTAATGAGTGAGACCTAATAAATCTTAACCGTTAGATGTAAAAAATCAAAGGTTAAGATTTGGTGTAAGACTTATTATTCTTACACCGGTGTAAGATGATCCTGCCCTATATATATATATATATATATATATATATATATATATATATATATATATATAATAATAAGTAATTACATAAACAATTACATATCATCTTATGAGAGTGTTTGCTAGAGGATAAATTTTTTTTTATCAGGTGAATATAATAACCGAGGAAATGGTAAGAAAGTCAGTTTGATGAGAAAGTTTAAAAAAAGATGTTTGGTTGACTGAAATATTATCAGAGAAATTTAATTAAATTTGCAAAATTTATGTTCGGGATAAATTTCGCACCTGTTTTTTCACTTCTCCAGTTATCTCAAAATACCACATCTCAAGTGGTATATTGTAACAGTGAATTTCATCCAAAAATCAACACAAAAGTCATTTCCCCATCCATCCTATTTGCCTAGTATTTTTTTCAAAAATCTGAACCAAACGTGATATTTTCCAATATCCACTTACACTTTCCTATCGATCCCAAAATAAAACTTTTACCAAACAAGTTTAGTTTATCTATGATTACTTACTTATAAACAATAAATTTATTGAGTAAAATACAAAACAAAATTTGATAATATGATTGTTTTATATTTATATATTAATAAATTAAATATTTTATAGAATTGTTAATATAATTTAATTTAGAAAAATATTAGTTTTATGTTGATGGAGATAGCTATCTTATACATACACTTATCGAGTTTTGTGTCAGCTTTTTCTTTTAAATTATGGACTCACATATTCGTTTCACCCACGTGAGAGAATTATCTCAAGTAATACGAGATTAATAACTCTCTTAAATTTATTATAGAATATGATCATATATTATTAAATATAAGTGTATAAATTTTGTACTAGTAATACATCAAAGTGGAATTAAAAAATTACTTTAGCATTGAAAAAAATTTAAATTCTTGTTAAATTCAACATCTTTTCTCATAAAAAACTATAAATAAGTTTAATGCCCTGTGAGTAATAATCTTAATAATATTCTTTCATATTAGAATATTAAGTAAAATTTATTTTCTTAAACTATCAAATAAATCATTCTTTATTTAATATCTCTTACAATATTAAAAGAATTATCAAAATGATCGAGCCAAACTCAAAAGTTATATACATTCATTTCATATGTTACTCTTGTATCTTGATAAATTTTTACTCAAAAATAAATAATGAAATGAAAAAGCATGTGTAATTTTTAGAAAAAGTTTCAAGTATAATATACAAAATGCTAATGTCATACATAAAGACAATGTAAGTACACCAAACGGACACCAAACGCTAGTAGCAAGATAGATGAGAAAATAAAAAAAGAAGAGAGTATTAGATTGATTCTTACATGTCACATTTATAAGAAATTTAAATATTTTATTTCTGATTCATTTGTATTTTAAATTAATCTTATAATTAATTCAAAATATAAAAATTTACAAAAATATCGGAAAAAGCAAACTTGCCACAAAAAATAACTAGGGTGACAATGTAAGGATAGTTTCCAAAATGTCACGCTTTGGCAAAAAAATTATCAGAATGTCACGCGAATAGTAAAATTTCCCAAACTGCCACGCGGCATAATTCGCTACACAGTGTAGTGAATTGTGCATGCAAGTAATTCGCTACACAGTGTAGCGAAATATGCCACGTTAGAATGCACATAACCAAAAAGTGTCATGTGTCAGAATTGTTGAAATTCGCTACATAGAGTAGCGAATTTCAACAATTTTGACACATGGCACTTTTTGGTTCTGACGTGATATATTTCGCTACACTGTGTAGCGAATTACTTGCATGCATAATTCGCTACACTGTGTAGCGAATTATGCCACGTGACAGTTTGAGAAATTTTACTGTTCGCGTGGCATTTTGATAATTTTTTTGTCAAAACTTGACAAAATAGTCACTGTCCCGATAATGTAAGTACCACTTTTTTTATTTCTGTTAAATAATTAGCATTAAATTCTTCATTCATGAAAATGTTACTCATAAAAAAAGATAAAATTCTTATCTTTAATAAGCTCAAGTATCAAGAAGATTTTCCACGAGGTGCTCGAGCATTGTCTCAATCGTAGTACACACACTTTGACACACTAACCCACAGCGCTACGGCTATTGCTGAACAACATGGGTCAATCCACAACTGGGAGTCACTGCATTTTCCCTTTCAAGCCCCACGCGCTGCTCGAGTCACACGAGGGCACAATAGTCAATTCAGTATTAACTCTCATTTCGTTTCCTCCACACCACAGTGATCGTCTCTCTTTCTAATCTTGTTTTGAACGAAGCTGAGGGAAGGAGTAGGTGACACAACAACAACAAGTGGATGGGGATATGCTTACTTGGGAAGTTGAAAACTTTGAACCCAACACAAAAGAACCACTTACCGGTGAGACAACCAAAACCACCTTCACTTTTTCTTTCACAAAACCGCTAATTAAAAAAAAAAAAACCGGTTCTTATCTACATAACAGAGTGATACTAATACATAGGAAGAATCATCCTAAAATGAGAAAATCAAAGGATGGTGTCGTGAAGATAGACATTGGTAACTAAGTAAGAAAAAAAAAAAAAAAAGAGGGACCCCCCTTCACAATCTGAAGGTACTTTTGCCATATTTATGCCCCGTACCAACCTGACCACTCTAGTGGCATAGATTGAGGTACGAAAAGCATATTGTAGTGTTCTTTCTTGTGGGAACAACACCGTTTATGTGAGCAGCACAAAACCAGAGAGCTTTTTTCAAGCACCTCAGCTGGGATACTCTTGTACTTGAATCACTGCAAAGACGGTTTCTTTTCTTCAGTTTTGGTATTGGGTCTTGAGTTTTTTTTTTTATTCATTTTTTCTTTATTTTCTATGTCTCCGTAGAAGATGGGTTTTTTTTCTTTTTCTTCATAATTATTAAATGGATGTGACTTCTCTGGTTTGAAGTGATTTATATATATGTGGTCAGGGTTTACATGCAAAAATACATGTCTTTGTGGGAGATAAGGGTTCCTTTGGATTTTGGAGAGATCTGAATATATATATTTAGCAAACAAGTAGAAAAAATTAAAGCTTGAGATTTGATGTCATATCATATCCAATATACAATCTTTCTTGGTGTTTCTTGATTCAAGTTTTCTTGCTAGTGTGTTGAGATAAGAAGAGATAGAGAGTGTGTGAAAAAAAGCAAAGTTGATAGATATTGAATCAAAGATATCGATGGCGAATCCTTGGTGGGTTGGGAATGTGGGAATGAGACACACGGAAGCTATGTCATCATCATCATCTCCATTACTTCATCTGAGAAGAGAACAAGAATTCATAGACAACAACAACACAATCGCTACACCAACTAATAGCAGCAACAGCAACACTAACAACGCAAACACCAACAACACAACAGAGGATGATGAGAGCCGAGACAACGACGGTGGTGGTGGTGGTGATCAGAACAACGCAGGTGGTGGTGGTGAGGCGGCGGAGCCAGGTAGCAGCCGCCGCAGGCCACGTGGCCGGCCACCGGGTTCCAAGAACAAGCCAAAACCACCCATTGTTATAACCAAGGAAAGCCCCAACGTGCTGCGAAGCCACGTGTTGGAAATCAGCAGCGGCAGTGACGTCACCGACAGCATCGCCGCCTTCGCTAACCGCCGCCACCGTGGGGTTTCGGTGCTGAGTGGGAGTGGCATTGTGACCAATGTAACCCTTCGGCAACCGACTGCTCCTGGTGGGGTTATCACTCTTCAGGGAAGGTTTGAGATATTGTCTCTCTCCGGTGCTTTTTTGCCTTCTCCTTCGCCACCAGGAGCCACCGGTCTTGCTGTTTATCTGGCCGGTGGTCAAGGGCAGGTTGTCGGTGGTGCCGTCGTGGGTTCATTGGTGGCTTCTGGACCTGTGATGGTGATTGCAGCTACTTTTGCTAATGCTACTTATGAGAGGTTGCCACTAGAGGATGAACAAGAAGCTGAGGAGGTAATGCAAGTGCAGCAACAACAATCAGCAACAAGTCCTGTTGAACGAGTTTTGGGTGAACAAGGTTCAATGCCAATGTATAATTTGCCTACAAATTTGTTACACAATGGTCAAATGCCTCATGATGTGTTCTGGGGACCTCCACCTCGTCCTCCTCCACCTTCTTTCTGAGATCAGAAAGAAAAAAGAGAGAAAGAAAGAGAAAGAAAGAAGAAAAGATCAGGCTTGTCTCAATGATCTTAGTTTATTCTCACTGACTTATACTTGTGCATTATGTGTTCTCTTAACAATTTCTTGTAAGCATAGCAGCAAGGTTAGGATGTTTTTGTTCATTTGTTTACTTTTGCTTCTATGAAACTCATTAGATGTTGTAATGTTTAGGTACTTTGTACTAGTTTGTTTCTCTTTTGTATAATTGCTTTTTTTTTTAATGGTAGAAGAGTTCATTTATGATTGTGTAGGTGAGGATGAAATTTGAAATGGTCCTGGAATAAGATTTTGGAGCTATGCAGGAATTTATGGTAAGCTTACGTTGTTGTTTGACTATTTGACTAGTTATCCATGTAGTACATCATCCGTTAGAGGAAATTGCTAGAAAGTCTTTGTGTGAGCTATGGTATTGGTCCTATTGGACAGTAGCGCACTAGCGCATTGAATGATTTTGCAAGTACTACTTTGATAGAAGGGTGATAGGATAACCTTTCTTTAATAGAAGGGAAGGGTGGTAGGGTCGGTTCCTTGTGCCGTTCAGACTTAGAATGCGCTTGTTAAGCTTATTTGGCATTATTCTGCTTCATCTGTATGGTGCAAGAAAAGGAAAGTCCCTCTTGTTTTAGATTTCTTGGTTTCACGGGGTCAGCTTTTCTGTATTGTAGGAATCTGAAACCTGTTAAATATGGACTCGTTAGTTGATTGGGGATACTATTTATTGTTTTGGCCTTTAGTATGTATTACTTGTGCTTAGAAACTCATGTTCAACATCTTTTTATCAATGTCTAGTGTGAGATAATTAGGTATGGATAGGCATGAAGGATAGGAGGGGTAGCAGTAGCACCATGGTGTCCGCTATATTTTTAGTTGTTTGGTATTTGTGCTCCTCAGGTTTTCCTTTTAATACCTTTGTTCACTTGCATTCTTATTTGATCCAGTCATCGAGTTACACTCTAATCTCATTTTTCTTTGTTTTGGATGTTGTAACTGGGGAAGGGTGGTTGAAACATTTGAAGATCTGGATTCCCTTGCACTTGTCTCCTTGTTAATTTCCTTTTATGGATCTTTGTGCATATTTATTAAGCATATCCCAAGTAGTAGAAGCAAGGTAACATCTGTATTGACAGCAACCAATTGCGGTTTTTCTGTGATGCTGTTCACTGGGCTTCTCTTTGCTTTCAAATTGGTTTTATTCCTTCATTCTCACTTTATAGTGTCTTAAGGTAACTCTTTTATTTGAGAGTAATGTGATTGAATCCTACAGTTTAAGGAGTCAATCTAGTGATTAATGGAGTGAGTTTATCTATGACTGTTCTTTGATTAACATAAGATGTTAATAATACTTGGCCAAGGTTAACATCTTATCTGTGTAGCATTTAATTTGTTCTAGGTTTGTTGTAGCCTCATAGGTTATCAAAGTTAAAGGGGAAACAGAGAAGGAAACCTGAAATTGAGAATTTAAGAATGCAATTTAGCTATTTTAGTGGGGGAACCAGGTTCCAATGCCTCCTCCTTTGGCTAACAAATGCTGGCTCCTTAAAGACACCCAAATAAGTAAAAACAGAAATCTAAAGGGAGAAATCATGACTTGATAAATAAAGTGCAAGAAAATAAGTTTCGGGTAAGAGTTATATTTAATGTTATTTCCTTGAGACAAATGACAGCATAACCTATTCCATAAATGTGCCCATGTGAATGCATATCTATGGTTCATATTAAATTTGCTTCAGACAGTGATATATTGTATTACATACATAGTTACACACCTTACGGAGCACTGTGTATTAGTATTAAGAACATAGGAAATCGATGTAGGAGAGTTAGTATTCGATGAGAAATTAGATGAAGATAAACTATTTCAGCATGGTATGATTGCAGATGTACATTTGTAGAGTCTAATAATGCCTGGGAAAGGAAGTGATCACAATGATGAAGAAATGGTTAATTACTAAAGAAGAGATAAGTTCTCCTTGATTCTCCTAAGGTTGAATATGTGTTTATATATTAGCTAGTAGTTGTGGTTCAATTAACCACTCATGATTCTCTTGTCTATGTCATGACTAACTGGAGTAACTGCTTGTGATGTGAATTATGTACGTTCTTAGGGTAATGATGTCTGATTTACTCAACTTCTTATTGTTACCTAACTTTCTTAGACGTTGTTGGTCTAATAATTCATTCTAATAAAAACTTCTATTACCACATAGAACTGTAGTAGAAGTGGTTCACTGCATACATGGAGATTTTATGTTACCTAGCATGCTGATGTTTTCTACGTTGGTTTTTCTACTTTACACTACTAGGAGAATGGTGTATCATGGTAGAGTTGATTTCAAGATTTTTTATGTTTTGGTATGAATTAACGTAGAATGAATGAATGATTTACATTTAACACATTTATAAGAACATATAAAGCACAATTATATGGGAAGGTTTTATTTACCATTTTTTTTTTATAATCTCTTATAACCAATTTTGTTATCGTTCCATCAAAATTTAATCTATAGCTTGATCCGATGATAATAAGATTAGTTGTAACCATGATAGTTAAAATTAGAATTTTACCTAAAATCGGAAGGAGAACTAAAAATCGTAAAACGTAAAATCCTAACATAAAAAAAATGGTAAAGCATTTGAAATTTTGATGAAATCGTTTTGATTAAAAAAAATCGTAAAATCGTAGAATCGCAAATTGAAATTGAAATTTTAACTACTATGGTTGTAACACCGTTAAGAAAAATAATAATAAGTATAATATATCTCTCCTTATTTAGTTATATTATTTTTTTAAGGGTCGTCATCATGGTTGGGTTAAAACCCATTGGATTATTTGTTCGAACACAAAAAGAAAAAAAAGTAACATAGGTAGACACTTTCAAGATTAAAATCCAAATTAACTGAAGGTTAAATGTCTCTTATTAATATTAAGTCATGTAACTAAACAAATAATGAATTTTGTTGTGTGTCCTTGTGGTGAACTATGGATGCACGCGATATTGCCTGTACATTCAAAGTTCAAACATGTACAGGTTCATAATCTTATATACGAGGGTTTTGATTGTATATTAGATAATAGATAGTTTACTTTTGCATGTATAACAAGAGAAAATCTTTGGTGCAATTGTTGTAGGTACATTCAAAATTAAGGGGAAAATTTTTTGGGACTCAGAAAAAATTATACAAAAAAATATAGGTTAAAATGAAAAAAAAATTCCTTTTTTAATAAAAGAGATAGAGTACCGAGTTCGGTCCTATGTAGCACTATTTGGTAGAGGAGAAATTTTTTTTATCTGAGAATCTTGATTTTCAAAAATATAATTTTTACATTCAGTTTACGATAATATCCAAAAATTTAAAATTTAGAAAAATTCAATTTTTCGAAAATCTTGAAGAATGACGCATACCAAATGCCCCCTAAAAGAAATTTTCGTATAACACCCTTGAAAGGTGATACGTTTATTTGTGTGTTTTCTCGAATTTTACGTTGTTAATAATATATTATACATGATCACATACATTTACATGTTTAAATGTGAGTTTAATGTTTCTCAAGTTGTAAAAGATAATTTTACACATACATAGAAATTTATGAGATTTAATTTTTCTTTTTTATTTTGTTCTCCTCACATAACTTCATATGAGTTCCATACACTTTTATATATGTGTAGGAGATAATTTTATCTCCTAGAACATGAGAAATTTTTAACCTTTATATGTGACTAAAATTAATGTTTTTATATTATTTTAAATTTTTTAGAGATAAATGATTAAGTGCTAGAGTGATAATGGGAGATAATTTTTAAATTTTGCAATTATTGTTAATCTTTTAGAGATAATTAATGAGAGAATTAAGGTGGTGACTGTCCTTTCTATCATCATGGAGTGATGAAATGATAAGTGCTAATTTGAATTTATCTTCCAATAAAATTTCCATGGGAGCAAAGACTTTACTAAATTCTTCCTATAGCAGCATGCGTGTCGATGAAAAACTAAGCCTATCATTTTGGGTTTAAAAAATAAATCAATAAGATAAAAAACCAAGTTTCCGGCCACATATCAATTGAAAAAAAAAAGTCAATAGAACTACAGGAAGCATATTAGAAGAAAAATTGTCAGTGAACATATTTTAGTTAGCTAACAAATTTTCCCCACTACCAGCTTCAAACCTTTTTTTATTTTTAAATTGTTGAATATAAATGAGATACATAACAAAGAGTAAAGGAAAAACAATTTTGGAGTTTTATAAGATTTCATTAAATATGAATACGAAACAAGAGCGAGTTATTAGTAAATATTTATTCTAAATAAACTAGGGTTAACATTTACCCCAAGACTTAAAGCTTTTTATAAAATCTTCGTTACTTTGAATAAAATAAAAAATCAAATGAGATTGTATGGAATATATATTAAATAATATTAAATATTAATTTAACATTTCTTAATTAAGAAAAAATGACGTTGTATATCATCTAACTTTTTTTTTTTTGGTAATCTAAAGGGGTTAGAAAACAACACCCCAAAGAGATCAATTCAGCATAATCTTTCTGAAATTTAGACTAAAGATAAATCAGCCCAATAAAAAGGTCAAACAACAGGGGGAGAGTTTGAAAAATCACAAAAATTATTCTCTATAAGATAATCTAAATGATATTTAGATAGCCAATCCGAATAACTATTTAACTTCTTAATTATTTGTTAAGCCATTCTATTGAATAAATAATTTGGTTTAAAAAAATAAGGAAAATAATTATCTCATGTAGTATGAGATAATTATCTCATGTTGTTTGAGATAATTATCTCATATAACGTAAGATAAATAGATTCAAAAAAATATTTACGTATCACAAGTAGTATATAATTATAATGGTAAAATTATTATTTTTTCTCTTAGGAGAGAAAAAAATTTAATTTTAATATTATAAGTATATATTATCTTAATATATAAATATATTTCTTTTGTAGGAGAAATTTTTTTCTAACAAGATAAGAGACTGATTTCCGTAAAAACAATGGTTCCTTGATTTGCTACTTGACCTTTTGAGACTTTTAATGGGCAGACACTAGAATGACTATTCAGTGTGGGTTTGAACGCATAAAAAGAACTTATATTCAAAAGAATGACCTTTTGAAAAAGTTTTTGAAAAATAATTTTTTTTTCTCTCTTTTAATTGAATATTGCAAAAGCATAACAAAAATACTTCCATTATTAATAATAAAATAAAATTTATTTAACTTCTTACCTACTAAATACATTTTTTTATAAGCAAATAAGATAATCAAATTTGAGTAAATGATCATTTTTTCTTTGCTAGTTGCAACTTATAATTATTTAAGAATCAATTAACGAGAAAAAATATTTTACATATAAATTGTTAATTAAAGAGGACTAAAAAATTTCCGAAGTAAGAACATACGCTATATAATAAAAAAAAAAGATACGATTATAGAAAAAAGAAGAAGAAGTACCTGTTGATATTTTATTATCTAGAATGATGACGCGTAAATTTTATATAATAACCAAAAGACATGATTTAGATCAAGCTATTCTAATTAACTCATCGATTACGATTTTTTTTTTTAATAAACTCAAAACAATTTGATAATAAGATCAAACCTTAAAAAAGAAAGAAAATCGTATTGTACCAAATTGTACGTACAAAAGATATTTGCCTATTTAGTTTAGTGAGGAGCCAAATCTGTATCAAATTGGTATTTTTCTGAAAAAACAAAAAGGTGTATCGCTTAGGGTGTGCATGACAACCTTTCCGGAATCACTTTTCTTTTAATTTTTGTTCCCGGTAACAGAAATGAATATGAAACTCGTTTGGTAAAATCGGTTTATTTTTTTTGTTCCCGAGATAAACCGGTTTAATTTTTGTGCTGGGAAACAGAAAAAATAATCAAAAAATTTCTGCTTTTTTGTTTCCGGGCACAAAATGAGAAACACTTATCCCTCTCAATCACTCTCCACCATCGTACCACTAGTGTCGTCGTCACCATCACGATGCCACCACCACCTCCTCTATCACCACCATCACCACCACCACAACTACCGCCGCCGCCACCACCACTACCATTATCACCGTCACTGTCACCACTATCGCCATCAACCACCACCACCACCATCATCGCAACCACTGTCGTCATCCCCACCACTACTATTGCCGCAACCACTATCATCACCACCACCGTCATCTGGTACCGCCACCAACCACCACCACCATCACAGCCATTACCGTCACCACCACCACTATCGCCACCATTACCATCACCACGCCATTGCTACCACTACCACCACCACCGTCACTGTCACCGCCGCAGCCACTGCCACCACCACCACCACCACCACCACCATGATGCCTTCACAACCACCACCACTATGCCACTGCTACCACTGTTGTCGCCACCAACCACCATACCCACCACTATTGTCGCAACCACTGTCGTCACCTCCACTACCACCATCCCCACCACTACCACCGCCGCCGCCACCGCCACCATTACCACTGCCATCATCGCATCCACTGCCGTCATAATCACCACCACTATCTTCCCCACGTCACTGCCACCATCGCTACCGTGCCGCCGCCACCACTATAACCACTGCATGTGGAAAAGAAAATGATGATCCATAATTTTTTTATATTTAATAGAAATTATTTTTTATTATATTATTTGTTGTGTTATCAAACACAATTGTCATTCTCGTAATAAAAATAGAACAGGTTATCAAACACATTTTTCTCTCAGAAACTATTCCATGACACAAAAATAAAAAAGAATTGTTTCTTTTCAGAAACAGTGCTAAAGAATAGAATGATTGTCATGCATAGCCTTATTATTGTCATTGTTAAAGAATCTGATTCAAATTCATCGTCAAGAAAAGTCACAGAGCATCGTCAGCGGAAAGAGACATTGCTGATAGACATTGAGCGAATAAAATAGTGGCAACGCAAAGGTGTAAAGTGTAAACTTTATTGCGAGGGAAAAGAGTGGATACTAGGGGTAGGGTTTTATTCTGTGCCACCCCAAAACCCTATTTCTATTTCACATTACTGTCACACTCTTTTTTTTTTTTTTTTTTTAATTGGTCTTCTTCGCCGCCGTTCAGGTGCGATTCGTTGTCTGTTCACCACTGTAACGTCTTCGTGGGGTTGTTATTTTCGTGATTTCTCAATGTAAACCCTTCTCCACTGCATTTAACAATTTACAAACCCTAACCCACAAATCATGTCTCTGTTGACATGTCCCTGCTTCTTTGATTTTCATGCCCTAATCGATTGCATTTTGTTATGTTGATGCAGAAAAGTGGTTCGGTGATTTCCCAGAAGCAAAAAGCAGCGTTGAGGGAGGCGTCTCACCAAGCACCAGGTACTCCTTTTTTTTCTTCTTCTTTTTTTTTTTAATCAGAAGACATTCAATCAATTCTTTTAATCATCTTTAATCAGAAACATAAGACATGGGAGCAAATTGATTATTTTCAATCTCTGGTTCTTGGTTCTGTTTGACCAGAGACCAGAACTGGCGTCCTGTGCATATTTTTTCTTTTTGAAAACTGAAACGGCATGAAGACAAACGATACTAGTTTTATGAGAGGAGTCGATTGTTTATCCGTCCCATGTATAAATAACCCTCCAAATGCGAATTGGTAATTTATTATATGGAGAATGAAAGAGTTATTCGGTAATATATTATCAATTATGCCTTAATGCAAGTACTACAATAGTTTTGTCATTAGTTTTATTTGTCAAAGTATCATAAGATACATAATACGATATTTAAAAATTTAAGAAAATAACATCTTTCTATAACATCTTTTTTTTTAATTGGTCTTCTTCGCTTCGTTTAGCTTCTACTTCATTCACATCATACATACATATATATATATATATATATATCTCATTGTGCTCACTTCTCAAAGTTTCTTTTGTTCTTTTTTTTCTTCATATTGAAGAGCTTTCAAACACTTGATCGAGGACATGGCAGCTGCCAGGGAATTTGGGGTGTCCGAATTCCTACAGGTTTGATTTTTATCCCTTTGATTGAATTAGCATCATATATTACATTTTTTTATTTTATTGTGTTTTCCTTCCTTTACTGCTATAGTAAAACATTTTGATTGGTTTAAAGTCTGCAGCTTTGACATGTGTTTATTTTTTATTTTCATCTTCTCATTGACCAATTGTTGAAGCATGTTTAATTTGGGATTTGGCTTATGAGTTGCAATTGTATGCATGTTTTTGCCCCCCCTCCCTCTCTGCTTCCGTAGTAATGTATTTTGATGCCTCTTAAGTCTACATCTTTCGCATGGGCTTGTTTTAGTTTTCAGTTTCTCAAGGAGTAATTTGTGCAGTTTGTTTAATTTGGCAAATAAAATGCAATTGTGTTTACGGGGTTTGTGTTTTGGTGATTTTGGTTTCAGGGCACCTGCAGGCAGAGTTTGTTTTTGGTGAAGAAGCCTCTGAGTCAGAGAAGTCATTTACTTTGGGGTACGCTTTGGAATAGGAATCGGGTTCTTGGTTCAACTCGAAAAGCTTTGCGTTTAAGGTGTCAAGCTCAAGAAAATCCTAAAGCTGTGGTTTCTGGGGGTGTGAGCAGTTCAATAGAAGAGCAAGCAGGTTTGGTTGAGAAACCTGCCTTGGAAGTTTTTCATTTGTACCGGATCCCTTTTATTCAAGAAAGTAAAGCTGCTGAGATTCTAAAGGAAGCTCAAGCAAAAATCTCTAATGAGATCGTGGACCTACAAACAGAGCAATGTTATAATATTGGCCTTGGTTCACAACTGTCAAGTAGAAAACTTTCTGTCCTTAAATGGCTTCTTCAAGAAACATTTGAGCCTGAGAATCTGGGTCCTGAGAGCTTTCTTGACAAGAAGAGGAAGGAGGGTTTGATGACATTTATTATAGAGGTTGGCCCTAGATTGTCATTTACCACAGCTTGGTCTGCTAATGCTGTGGCGATTTGCCAAGCTTGTGGTTTGACAGAAGTGAACCGTTTAGAGCGATCAAGGAGGTACTTGTTGTATACCACATCTGAATTACAAGATTATCAAATCAATGAATTTGCATCTATGGTACATGATAGGATGACTGAATGTGTTTATACTCAGAAGCTAACATCATTTGAGACCAGTGTAGTTCCAGAGGAAATTCGATATATACCTGTCATGGAGAGGGGACAAAAAGCATTAGAGGAGATAAATCTGGAGATGGGTTTTGCCTTTGATGACCAGGATCTAGAATACTACACCAAACTTTTCAGAGAAGATATTAAACGAAATCCAACAATTGTGGAATTGTTTGATATTGCGCAGTCCAACAGTGAGCATAGCAGGCATTGGTTTTTTACTGGAAAGATTTTCATTGATGGACAGCTTATGAATAGGACTCTTATGCAAATTGTGAAAAGTACTTTACAGGCAAATCCGAATAACTCAGTTATTGGCTTTAAGGATAACTCAAGTGCAATAAGGGGTTTCCAAGTAAAGCAGTTGCGACCACTTCAGCCTGGTTCAGCATGTCCGTTAAACATGGCAACACGTGAGTTAGATATTTTATTTACAGCTGAAACACATAATTTTCCATGTGCAGTGGCACCTTATCCTGGGGCAGAGACAGGTGCAGGAGGTCGAATTAGGGATACACATGCAACAGGAAGGGGTTCCTTTGTCCAAGCAGCCACAGCTGGTTATTGTGTTGGAAATCTCAACACGTCAGGGTTTTATGCTCCATGGGAAGATCCATCCTTTACTTATCCATCGAATTTGGCATCACCTTTGCAAATTCTTATAGATTCTAGTAATGGTGCATCAGACTATGGGAACAAATTTGGAGAGCCATTGATCCAGGGCTTCTGTAGAAATTTTGGAATGAGACTTCCTAGTGGGGATAGGCGGGAATGGTTGAAGCCAATCATGTTTAGTGCAGGCATTGGGCAGATTGACCACCTTCATATATCAAAGGGAGAGCCTGACATTGGAATGTTGGTTGTTAAGATTGGAGGTCCTGCTTATCGTATTGGGATGGGAGGTGGGGCGGCCTCAAGCATGGTTAGTGGCCAGAATGATGCAGAACTTGATTTCAATGCTGTGCAACGTGGGGATGCTGAGATGGCACAAAAACTATATCGTCTTGTTCGTGCTTGTATTGAGATGGGGGATAAAAATCCAATTATCAGCATTCATGATCAAGGTGCTGGTGGGAACTGCAATGTTGTAAAGGAGATTATATATCCAAAGGGTGCTGAGATAGATGTCCGAGCTATTGTGGTTGGTGATCATACAATGTCTGTTCTAGAAATTTGGGGAGCAGAGTATCAGGAGCAAGATGCAATCTTGGTGAAGCCTGAAAGTCATGCGCTTTTACAATCAATCTGTAATAGGGAAAAGGTTTCAATGGCTGTGATCGGAACTATTAGTGGTGATGGACGTGTTGTGTTAGTTGATAGCTTAGCCACTCAGAAATGTATCTCAAATGGACTCCCTCCACCACTCCCTGCTGTGGATCTTGAACTGGAGAAAGTCCTAGGTGACATGCCTCAAAAATCTTTTAAATTTAATAGGGTTGTCTATAAGCGAGAGCCACTTGATATTGCCCCAGGGATCACTATAATAGATTCTCTGAAAAGGGTATTGAGCTTACCATCTGTCTGTTCAAAACGCTTCTTAACAACAAAAGTTGATAGGTGTGTTACTGGTCTAGTGGCACAACAGCAAACCGTTGGCCCTTTGCAGGTTCCCCTTGCTGATGTTGCTGTTATAGCTCAGACTTTTACCGATGTTACTGGAGGTGCATGTGCTATTGGGGAACAACCAATCAAAGGTCTGTTAGACCCCAAAGCAATGGCTCGGTTGGCTGTTGGAGAAGCACTCACAAATCTTGTATGGGCGAAGGTCACTTCCCTTTCTGATGTCAAGGCAAGTGGTAATTGGATGTATGCTGCCAAGCTTGATGGCGAAGGAGCTGCCATGTATGATGCTGCCATATCTATGTCCGAAGCAATGATTGATCTTGGTATTGCTATTGATGGAGGGAAAGATAGCCTTTCTATGGCAGCCCATGCTGGAGGAGAAGTTGTCAAGGCTCCTGGAAATCTTGTAATAAGTGCTTATGTTACTTGTCCTGATATAACAAAAACAGTGACACCGGATTTGAAACTTGAAGATGATGGTGTTTTGCTTCATATTGATTTGTCCAAGGGAAAGCAGCGATTAGGTGGGTCTGCTCTTGCCCAGGCATTTGACCAAGTTGGGGATGAGTGTCCTGATCTTGATGATATTCCTTACCTTAAAAAGGTCTTTGAAGGTGTTCAAGACCTTCTTACTCATGAGCTGATTTCTGCTGGTCATGACATTAGTGATGGTGGTCTATTAGTTTGTGCCTTAGAGATGGCATTTGCGGGTAATCGTGGATTTACTTTGGACTTGACTTCGCATGGTATGAGTCTTTTCCACACACTGTATGCAGAAGAGCTTGGGTTAGTTCTTGAGGTAAACAAGAAAAATCTAGCTTTTGTAATGGATAGATTGAATGGTGTGGGAGTTTCAGCTAAGATCATAGGTCAAGTAAATGTCACTCCAGTTATAGAAGTTAAGGTTGATGGGGTGCCTTGTTTAAAAGAAAAAACTACTATCCTTAGGGATATGTGGGAAGAAACTAGTTTTCAGCTGGAAAAGTTCCAAAGATTGGCATCTTGTGTGGATATGGAGAGAGAAGGACTAAAACATCGGTATGAGCCCTCCTGGAGACTATCCTTTACTCCTTCCTTCACTGATGAAAAGTATATGTCTGCAACTTTAAAACCTAAAGTGGCCGTGATTAGAGAAGAAGGGAGCAATGGAGACAGAGAAATGGCTGCAGCATTTCATGCTGCTGGTTTTGAACCATGGGATGTTACTATGTCAGACCTTCTTAATGGAGTGATTTCTTTGCAAGAGTTTCGTGGAATTGTGTTTGTTGGTGGATTTAGCTATGCTGATGTGCTTGATTCTGCTAAAGGTTGGTCTGCTTGCGTAAGATTCAATGAGCCCCTTTTAAAGCAATTTCAGGAGTTTTACAAGCGTCCAGACACTTTCAGTCTAGGTGTATGCAATGGGTGTCAGCTAATGGCCTTGTTGGGATGGGTACCAGGCCCACAAGTTGGGGGTGTACTTGGTGCTGGTGGCGACCTATCACAACCGAGGTTCATCCACAATGAGTCAGGGCGGTTTGAATGCCGCTTTACAAGTGTGACAATAAAGGACTCCCCAGCTATAATGTTCAAAGGTATGGAGGGTAGTTCACTGGGGGTATGGGCTGCTCATGGTGAGGGAAGAGCTTATTTCCCAGATGAAGGTGTATTTGAACATATAGTTCATTCAGATTTAGCTCCTGTAAGATATTGTGATGATGCTGGTAATCCAACGGAGACCTACCCTTTCAATGTGAATGGTTCTCCTTTAGGGGTAGCAGCTATTTGTTCCCCAGATGGGAGGCATCTTGCCATGATGCCTCATCCAGAGCGTTGCTTCTTAATGTGGCAGTTCCCATGGTATCCAAAGCAGTGGGATGTGGACAAGAAAGGCCCTAGTCCTTGGTTGCGTATGTTCCAAAATGCAAGAGATTGGTGTTCCTGAAATGGTTAGTTTTTTTTTTTTTCCCCCTAAAGCTCTTTTCTTTTGCTTTAGTTTATGACTGATCCATCTCCCCCTTCATTAATTTATGGACAGGTTACTCAATAATGATAAAGCAAGAATGAGGCCACAAGTTTAAAGGTCATCTATTTTCTGCATTGGTAAAACCCTTGCAGTTTGCTTTATATAGAATTCATCTGTAAGATATATAGTTTTCAAGTTGGAAGTTTCTGTATTTTCAATAATCTTCTATATTTTTGTCTCAACTAAGTCAGTTCCACACTTGATGTGATTTCTGGTGTAAATTGTTGCTCAATTTTATTCTAATAATGAACAAAATACTTATCTGGTATGACCTGGCTTAAAACTTTTTACTCAAATTGAATGCTATTGTCGTTGAAAGTTATGTACCAACTTTGGGGTAGTTTTAAAGTGATTCATAAGTATAATTTGTATTGAGGTTGATTACACTAGTGAGTAGAGTTTATACAATATACATTCATCGTCTGACTGTTGGATTATGGGAACTTTATACAATGTATCAAAAAAATTCTGGTATTAAAGATGATTATTCACTTTTAGACCACACACAAAATATGTATGCATATGCACTGGGTAGCCTATATTGATGAGAGACAAATTTTCTTGACTGCATGAAGATGTGTATAGCCTTGTACTCACTGAAGCATCTATTTCATGACAGGAAATAGGACTGTTAAAATGTCACTTTGAATAATCTGTTAAAAAATATGGTGGTCTAGTAGATAGAAGCAAAATTGCCTCTTCAACATTTCATGACAGTTTGCAATCTGCATGGATGGCTAGTCTCCCACACCCCAATTCTCAGGTTGTATGCATTTTCAAGTGGTTTTCAAGTTCATCTGCTTACTATGTAATCCATTAACTCGTGATGCATGAAGTTAGAACCTTTCTGGACTTATAGTAGTGGTAAACTTTTCTAGTCAAGGACTGTGTTTCTGGATAATAGACTGTAGCTTATGGTAGTAGTTAGTAGTTCTTGTTGGTTGTGTAGATATACTTGTTAAATTCATATGAAATTGTATGATAAATGAAATTAACTGGCTGAGAGGGCGGCAACATAGAAAATATGGACTTGTTTGGTTGAGTCACATGGGATTGAGAATTTGACTTTGTCGTTTCCCTGCTGGATTCGCTGATGTTCTTGTGTATTATACCTGTTCTGTGTATGGAGAGTTTTCTGCTAACATAGCCTTACTTTTTAAGTACTGATGAATTGTACTCTAGTATTTGTAATTGAAGTGTGATCATCTGTGTTATTAATCTTCAAATGACAGTATTACCTTCATTAACTTGGGTTGCTAATTGTTTGCCTTTCTAACAGTTGCTGGCTAACAAAGAGTTTGCAAACGAGATACTATCTCGAACACTGAATAAGCGGATAGCAGAAACACATGAAGTGTCATCCTTGGTCACTTTTATTTGCTTGTCAGCTGCTTCCTATATCACTGGATAAATTGTTGCTGTTGATGGAGGATTCACTGTGAATGGATTTCAACCCAGCATGAAAATTACTTAAAAGAAAATTGTCATTTTTTGTTTTGTTTTCTGGATTTGGTTACAGGGTCTGGCTATCCTTTTTTCAGTTTGTCATACACCATTTTGTTTGTGGACTGGTGTTGTTGAACGTATTCATCAACTTAAAGCGAATACTAATGTAAATTATGCAAGCATATTTAATTTGACATTATTTGGTCGGCAGTCAATGAGTCCAAAGATATTAAGGAAAACGAAAAATAAATATAAGAGAGTATACTGATATTGGAGAGAAAGATGAATCATTGGGTCACCTGTTTTTGCATAACATTTTCTTTTCGTTTGGAAATTATTAAAAGTAAATACATTTTATTTAGGTAAATGGATGAGAAATTTTTTAAAATTGGACATAGATTGCAAAAAGCTGCAAAATTATTCATATGGGCAATTTAACAAATAGATAAAAAAAAACTATACATCCCCGTTAAAAATACAAACATTCTTCTCCATATAACTCAATCCCTTTGTCGTGAATTATAGTTATGCATGGTGCAATCTTTACATATAAGGCAACCAATTAGATGTTATGTCTCTTTCTAATAATTGTGTCTTAAGATATGTATATACGTTTCTTTATTAGGGGGAAAAAACTAAAAAAAATCCTAAACAACATATATATAGTTGAATTTCTTCGATTCGGACTAACTGCTTTAGATCAGATGCCAGTGGTGGGGGTCAATCCCCCTTTATGAAATTATCTCTGGCTGACCAAAAAATTAAATTCTTGTTTCTATTTTATCATAATGCATCCCAATTTTTGTCAGCCTTAGAATACTAGATCATAAAATCATGAAAAACGAAAATTGAATCTATTGGTTTGTGTGGATCACTACACCAGTGCCATCAAAGTGTAAACTACACACGACCTCAAATATTAATGTAATTGTTTGTTAAAAATACTAACATTATTATTGGTTATCAAGAACACTTATTTTGTCGCCTAAAATGACAAGTAACCAATGCCTGAATTTCAATAAGATGAGATGAGTCCTCCTAGGCTTGTGTGGTAACAAACTCTCCTTAATACTGGTGGAGCTGGAAGAAGCTTCAATGCTGACCTTAAGGTCTAGTCCTAAGAGTGACTAAGAACTTGCAGGCACTATATGCTTGCCACGTGGCAGCTAGGCAATCCTCACTATGTGGACATCAATGCTTCTAAGACCAATCCTGTTGTGTACACTCAACCAATCAAACTACTATAACTTGCCCCCACTGATCATAAGCTTGCACTGAATTTGCTTGAAGCACCTCTCCTTCTCTGAAACTCCCCAAGCAGAAACCATCCATGGCTACCTCCCTCTCCACTGTTGGAGCTGTCAACAGAACTCCAGTACGACCCTTTTCCCACTTTATTACTCTTTAATTACTATAATGTCTCATTTTGATATGCATGTTTATATAGCTTGCATAAGTTGTGTGTCAGTAGTCACATACTCCAAATTAAGTGGTTTATATTATATTATGTTTTTTTTACTATAACACAACTTTCTTTTTATTATTGATACCAAATTAGTGATGTTGCTTTGTCCTACAATCCCATTTCATGCATGATGTAATAAATTGGATATTGGAAGCATGTAAAAACTAACTATGACATAGAAGATAAAAAAAGAGAACGAGTTATAAGTATTGAACTTTTAGTTAGTATAAAGAGTGTGAAAGAGTAGCTACTATGATATTGCAGCTAAGCTTGAATGGCTCTGGAGCTGGAGCTTCAGTTCCCAGCTCAGCTTTCTTTGGGAGCAGCTTGAAGAAGGTTACCTCAAGACTCCCCAACACCAAGGTCTCCTCTGGAAGTTTCAAAATTGTTGCTGCAGAGATTGATGAGAGCAAGCAGACTGAGAAAGACAGATGGCAGGGTCTGGCCTATGATATCTCAGATGATCAGCAAGATATCACAAGAGGGAAGGGTATGGTTGATTCCCTTTTCCAAGCTCCACAACAAGCTGGAACTCACTACGCAGTCATGAGCTCTTATGAGTACATTAGCACTGGACTTCGCGAGTTAGTGACACATTCTGAGAATTCTAAACCACTTAGTGTTTGCTTGCTTATGATTTTAGTATAAAAAGTTTATAAAATGAAGTCTCTTTCGGTCTAAAGCTTGTTGTAATTGTGTTTTAGGTACAACTTGGACAACAACATGGACGGCTTTTACATTGCTCCAGCTTTTATGGACAAGCTTGTTGTTCACGTCACCAAGAACTTCATGACCCTCCCCAACATCAAGGCATGTAGTTAAATATATGATTAATTTCTGCATGAACAGCATACTGCTTTAGCAAAATTGGGAGACACATTCAATACTTTTCATTATTTTTACAGGTTCCTCTCATTCTTGGTATCTGGGGAGGCAAAGGTCAAGGAAAATCTTTCCAATGTGAGCTTGTCTTTGCCAAGATGGGAATCAAGTGAGTTCTTGCTATACTAACCCCTCCTAAATAAATTCCACTCACATGCTTTTCTACAAAGACTTGAATTATTGAACCTAACAACTCAGAAATCCAACACTCAACAACTGATATGTTCCAATTGGATAGATAATATATGCTGTGGTACATAACATAATCTGCTACCTAACTTTCAATCCTTGTGTGATGTAATGATGTTGTAATTATTAACATTACAGCCCCATCATGATGAGTGCTGGAGAACTTGAAAGTGGAAATGCAGGAGAGCCTGCAAAACTGATCAGGCAGAGATACCGTGAAGCTGCTGATATAATCAGGAAGGGAAAGATGTGTGCTCTCTTCATCAATGATCTTGATGCAGGAGCTGGTCGTATGGGTGGAACCACACAATACACTGTCAACAACCAGATGGTGAATGCCACTCTTATGAACATTGCTGATAACCCCACAAATGTGCAGCTCCCTGGTATGTACAACAAGGAAGATAACCCTCGTGTGCCCATAATTGTCACTGGTAATGATTTCTCAACATTGTATGCTCCTCTCATTCGTGATGGCCGTATGGAGAAGTTCTACTGGGCACCTACAAGGGAAGACCGCATTGGTGTCTGCCTGGGAATTTTCCGCAGTGACAATATTGCTCAGGAAGATATTGTCAAGATTGTTGACACCTTCCCTGGCCAATCCATTGGTAAGTACCCCACCATTAATTGAAAATCTCCACAAGCACTAGAACACTACGAAATAATATCACAGACTAACTCTGTGAAAAGCTTAAGCTGGTGAGTGAATGTATGTGAATGGTTTTATATTATATTTCTAACACGCTCTCTCGCGCAAGAACTTTTTTGGGCATGGAATATTCACATAATCGAATTCTGGACCACTTAATTATAGAGTCTCTAATACCATGTCACCAAATAACTCACCTAAAAACTTAAGCTGTTTTGTCAATGCACATGAATGTTTTATATTGTAATACTGATACTATACCATCCAATGTGCAACTGCAGATTTCTTTGGTGCACTCAGGGCCAGAGTATATGACGATGAAGTGAGGAACTGGATTTCTGGTATTGGTGTTGATGGCATTGGGAAGAAGCTTGTGAACTCAAAGGAAGGACCTCCAACCTTTGAGCAGCCCAAGATGACTGTGGAGAAGCTCTTGCAGTATGGTAACATGCTTGTCCAAGAACAAGAGAATGTGAAGAGAGTACAATTGGCAGACAAGTACATGAATGAGGCTGCTCTTGGTGATGCTAACCAAGATGCTATTAAGAGAGGAACTTTCTAACGTTAAGAGGCCATCATTGGAGGTTTGCGTCAACCTTAATGTTCCTCCAACTTAAAAACAACCTGGTCTAACATCTAGTGTTGTTTAATGTGTAGGCAAAGCAAGTAAATATTTCTGTTCCTGAAGGTTGTACTGATCCAAATGTCTCAAACCTCGATCCCACAGCTAGAAGTTCTGGTGGCACCTGGTTATAACAGTCTCAGCATTCTCAATGTTTAGGTGTTTGAGATTATTTTACTATATTTTTCATATTGGATTGTCTTCTTTTATAATTTTGAGTTACTTTGTGCACAATGTTAAATGGAATTTGGTGCCTTTCTCTTTCTGCCTATACTGTCTAGATTTAATTATTTGTTTGATGTGAAGATATTCATACCCTATCCGGCGATTTTAGCTATGTGATTTCAAAAACCTTAAGTAAGTTTTTAGATATGGCAAATTTGAAGGAGTGAAATGTAACACTCAAAAACAACAAACCAAGACCTTAGAGTGAATTGGTTAAAACCAATTTTGTAAAAACCGGACCGGACCGCCCGAGTTGATTCGGAACTCGGTGAACTAGTCATCTGATCGGTTCGGTTATCACATTAAATTGGCCAAGTACCAGACCCGATACAATCCTACCGATTTTGGTGAACCGGTGACCAAGGTCGGTTAACCGGTTATTTCAAAAAAAAAAAAAATCAATTTTTTTTTCTAAAAAAAAATCATAATTGACATATTTGAGTAATCTGTTATTTATTGACCTACATAGGTATGTACCTATAATACTAATATTATCTCAATTATACACTATACAAAGAATTTTGATTTGATTTATAGTTAGAAATGTCATTTACTGAACATAAAACACTAGTATCACAAGCATTATATATTTGTTTGATCCTTTATTGGATAATAATGTTTAATTTATTATTTTTTATGTTAAAATATTTAGAACTTATATTATTTTTTTCAGCTATTTGAGTGTGTTTATAAATTTTTTTAATATAAATTTTAGATTTACATATAATTACTGGGTCATGCGATTCAACCAATAACCCACTGATTGAACCAGTGATCCAATGACCTAATACCTCGGCCGGATCAATCAATTTTAATGACATTGATTATAACAGACAATAATGCAATATTTACGTAGTCTTGATTTTATTCACGCGCCTATAACGCAAGACTTTGTGTCCTGGATTTTTCACTCATTGGATAAAATGACATGCCATTCAAATTGATCCTCTTCATTATCCATGAGAAAAAAATAAAAATAAAAAATTGTATCTCTTCCAAGATATTAACCTATCGTGTCATTTTACATGTGATTGAAATAGCCTCAATATACTAGCATTTGTGGTCAATATAGTAGTTGTTGTTTGTTGGAGGACAACACCATAATGGTCCTTGTTCGAATGCTGGTAGAGTCCAAAAAAATAAAAAAATAGCCTCAATAGCATCAAC